TCTAATACATTACTAGTTTAATAATCTAAGATTTTAAGAGGATGCCAGCTCAATTTATACCTGTTTTCTCTTTCAGACACTCGCTCAACAAAGATAAAACATTCAAGTTAAATCTTTTTTTTTATGAACTTAAGTAATTTTAGAGTAAAATCATCCATTACAAAAATATTATAGAAGATAAAATTTTTAAGGGTTTTAGTTACGGTTTGACAGTTTTATATTCATTATTATTATTTGACTTTTAAAATAAAAAGTTTTTTACATAAATAAATAAATTATGTATAAATTGCTTTGAGGAAAAATTTAGACAAATCGATATGTCTTACCTTCAAAATTATAATTTTCTTTAATATTTATAATTGGTGATTTTAAATTAAGATGACTAAAAAAAAAATTATTTTGCTTGAATCCTCTTAAATACTTACTATACAATAAAAATTTTGCTAAGAGGTTAGTGAATCAACAAAACTAGATAATATATGTTTATTGGAAATCGTTAAGATTGTTGTTTGATAGTAGTCTGACAGACCCTTTAGATCAATCAGCTGATTATAATAGCCAATAGGTGTGTAGTCATGTGAATAGTAATGTGTGCTTACTTACGAGAAAAGCCGGAAACAATCATTTTCTTTGAACTCACCCAATCAATTGATGGTCTCTAAAAGCCAATAGACCCCTTGATCTTGCCATGGTCAAGAATGAGCCTCGCACTAAACAACAATATAATGATTTCAAGGAGCAAAGAACTTAAATCATATGCAATTATTTTTAAAAGCCAAGAATTTGTTGAAAGTACAACAAAATATTTCCTGAATGTGTAACCGGGTACTAAATGTACGCAATAGGCAAAAATCAAAACTAAAAATTGATTAACCGTAAAATTGAGGTCAAATGTGCAATAACGATGGCTGTGAAATACTAGAAGTTGAAACCAATATTTGAGGACTTGAAATCAATAACGGGCTAAGTGCCGAAAAAAAAAAAATTGAGTTAGACTCGAAAAACGGAGCTATGTGCCATCGCAAACAACCTATAAAGAGGGCTATGTGCCACGACCATAATATTGGTGAACAAATAGGAAACAAATGTCGTGAGAGCTATGTGCCGGGTGTGGTTATACCGGGCTAAAAATTGAATAACTCAGAAACAACTTTTTGGCACTTGGCCCGTTATTGATTTCAAGTCCTCATTTATTTTAACGGTTTTGGTCTGGGGTTTGGAAACCATTTATTTTTATCTTCAGTTTTGATTACAGATGCGGAGGTAAGGCAATGAAAAAGGTTTTAACTGGTTGTAAGTTATAATTGATTTTTTAAAAACAGGTTTTAAGCCCTGGGTTAGGTCGTTAGGTGGTTGGATTAGGTTATCTCTTGGTACACAATTGTAGTATTTCATGCTGTGACAGATACATGCACTATTGTTTTTCTTATTATGTACATTAGGAAATTATCCTTGTATTAAGGGAGCTTAAAAATTCGATAAGGGTTATTATATTATAATACAATTTAATTAAATATATCCATGATAATTATTATTGTTAATTATTATGTTAATCAATATTGTTATTGCAATAAGTATGATTATTGTATATTTATTACCTATTAAATTGAAGTAGACACTTATTTACATCGGATCTACTGTACAAACAATTGTAATTACTATTTATTAGTAGGTAACTATTATAATGCTCCAACACACACACACACACACACACACACACACACACACACACACACACACACACACACACACACACACCTTGGCACACGTTATAATGGCTTAGCCTCCGAGATCCCATTATCAATAGTTTAAATAATTAGATTACGACATTAAGTACACCGATTGTCCATTCCACATAATATGATATATTATATCCAACACAGAATACAACTAGTCACCAAATGATGATACAATATAAGGAATTTTAATATATAGCTTAAACATAAATACATAATATATTAATATTGTGTACCTAACACTTAATAATTTGTCTGACACACACACACACCAGTTACGAATTTAAGAATTTTCCATTTAAGGGGGAAGAGGTCCAGATAAATTTCCTAACACGCAATGTTGTGGAGCTTTTCCTAGCACCGTCAAAAAACACACTATAAACAATGCTATAATTGGAAAAAGAAAAGATGGGGTGGTGTAAAAAATAACAAAAATATTATTACAAATCGATTACAAATTACAATGATTTAACTCAACCTAATCATTATGGGACTTGCGACGTTTTCACAAACTTTTCAGCATAACTTAACACTCTAATTTAGGTATATAATACATAATGTGAGTATATACATGTTAATTATAATAAATAATATATATGTATAATATAATATTTAAATATCTTTATATAGATATATATAATTCTTGATTGTATTCTGTTATTAATCTTATGACTTTTTAACTACTTGATCGATTAGGTAAAAGTTATACCTACCAATACATTCATTGAGTATTGGTGTGAGTTTATATCATATTTTTCCAACCCCTCAAGGTAGGTGGCTCAAGGGTAGATCAAACATTAATTTTGTTTCTGCACATCAAAAACGAATTTTTTTTTAGTTTAAATTATATAGGTTTGCTATTTGTTACAGATAATAAAATAGTTAGGTATTCTGATTGGATATGATTGTATGTATTGTATTATATTTTATGATTTAGGCTAATAAAGTTAGTCTTCATAAATGTAAATTAAAGTAACATAATATATTATATTGCATTACAGAGAAAGTGTAAGGTGAATAACTTCGATATTGTATTTACCAGCAGAACTTCAAAATTATTGTAAGCCATAAGTCCAAATAGGTGTGAATGTGTGATAATAGTTATATTATATAGAAGCAGCTTATAAGAATCCGTTTGCTTGTCAGGTCTAATGTGGAATATCTTCCAACTAGACTGTATAACTTATAACATAATGTACCTACTTATATACAATGATATACATTATACAAAATATATCAACGTAGGAAATCATTTTGAAAAATAACTTACCATCCTCAGTCTCAATAAACTATTACAGTAAAGGACACTATATAAAGCCATAAAAGTACACAACAAAATTAAAATAAGAGGAGAGCTCCCTCCACATCATCCTTCAAACTCGAGCTTTAATGATAATATATATACAAACTTTCATAAAAGTTATTCTATTTAATACTAGTTTTAATCTATAAATTAGATCTGGTACTTACCAGCTGATTCCAATTTCCTGTATTATACTAGATTATATTATTCGCATGTTAGACGAGCAATATCCTAAGGCTGATTTGGATTTTAAACACTGTGTAATTAGCAGAGGCTTTTAAATTTCGATAATTTGATTAAATAACTCATTTGAGCAATCATATGTTTGTAGATACACCTGAAATTAGTTCATCACTCCCATAAAGTAATAACTCAATAATACTTAACATGAACCCGGGATCATTTACATTTTTAGAAAATACAAGAATCAAGTCACAATACAACTTAAAATGCATAAAAAAAACAATTTTGAAGTTCATAATTACTTGTTTTTGATAACGTCATAATAAATATATAGGTATATACAAAGATGTTGTAATATATACTTAAACCTTAATCATTAATCATGATATTTGAAATTTGAATAGGGTTAAATCTCAATACCAATATATCATATATTCATACGTTGATCATTATTCATTATTAATTTGTGTACAGTATACATTATACATGTATAGGTATTTATGGCATAATAAACTTAAAAAAGTGGTCAAGTGGGTAACGCTCAGCTGCACATTAGGTGTTACGTGGGTCACTGTATTGGATGTATTAAATTTGAATTCAATGATGTAAAATAATTTGATATGAAAACGATTCTGAGCGAAGACTGTCGTCAGCCCATATCAAGTAGTTACACATTTTAATTTTTCATGATATTATGTTCTTTGATACTGCAATTGAAGTAATTTTTTTTTAGATACCTTTTATTATATTAGTAATACTACAGTTGGTTGAATTAATTTTTGCCAAAAAAATTACATTTGATAATGTCATTAATGTGTGAATAAAATATAATAATTAATAATATACTATCAAGTACCAAAAAAATATTTTTAAATCACAACAAAATAACTAAAATATTTATTCTTGATTTAAGTTAAATTTAACTTCATTTTAAGAGCTTTTTTACTGCTCCAAAAGTTGATGAGAGACTCAAAAAATAAAATAAAACACCCATCACTGTAAAATCAATATATTCATAGCTCCGCTCAGATCCTGAAATTAAAAAAATCACAATTAAATTATTGAAATACGATTTATAGATTCATGACACGGGCCACTATTATCTCTATATTTTACTTGTCCGTGTCCACCACTATATCCTGTATAAGAGTCAAGTACTTTAGGTAATTGTATTGTTATGCACACTTTAGTTATAGTAAGATTCATTATGAATTATCCAATAAGAAGGTTAGGTATAACTGTATAAGCAATTTATTAAAAAAAAAAAAGACTTGTAAAGACAATAGTAGTTTCGTTTTTTTTTTTTATAAGTACATTATGTATAGATATATACACAATCATGTCTATATACTATAACGCGATAAATAATTTTTAAATCTGTAGCGATTACATTGTTACTTATACCAATTTAGTTTCCATATTGTTTACTATTTTAATACCCACCAGATTCTATGTAGATAGGTAAGTTTTATGACTTTTATGACTTAAGTGTCCAATTAAATATGAAGTACCCCCCTAAACATATATATATATAAATGAATGTATGATTTCAGTTAGTTAGTTACACTATAATAATATACATATTTACACCATTAACTTTAATTTCGGTAGTGTCCGTGTACATTTCTATATCATACATAGCTTGCAGATTGGCATCAGTAATTTAATTTAATTAGAAACACCCAAATATTCATATTCATATTATTATTGTGATCATAACTTAAATACATTTTTTAATTACATACATTTATTGGCCAACTCTTCAGAGAAACGGCATTATGATCATCAGGTAAGTTTCTATAGTTGGCTTTGATTACAATTATTATGTGAATAAGTGTAAATATATAATGCAATAGTTTTTTTTTTCAAATGATGTTATAATAAACATCAAAAAAACACTAATTACTACTATTTGGTTTATTGATATAAATTTTTAGTTATACTAACTTTATTAGTTACCTTATCATAAGTATACGATATAACTTAGCTTCCTAACTCCTTAAGTCCTAAATCAAGACTGTTTTCAATTTTACTTTGAAAGTTTGCATATTTCAAAGATTTTTAAAATTATTCAAATTAAATTTAACAACTAGGTAGGTAAGTACATAGTATCAACCTATGTTGATCATTTATGCAACAAATAACTGCAAATGCCTATGTACAAGGACGCATAGTCATCGTATATTTTAAGAAGGGCTGAGCTCGCTTTTTAAAACTTTTGGGAGGAATAAGTTCTCTGAAGCACCACCCTCGAATTTTGACTATTGTACCAAACCTATTACAACTAATATGCAATGATACCTAAGTACCTAACTACTTGATTTATATAATAATTGGTTTTGATAATTTTATTACAATCATTTTTTTGAACTCGGTACATTGTTATTTTTTCAGACTTGTATTGACTTTTAACATAAATATATTTTTAGATTAATACACTAGGTATAAAATGTTTATAACCGATTTTTCGTAAGGTTTTCGTCGTCATGATTACTTATTAAGAGGACGAAGTCAAAAAAAGTATAGGTACATTAATTATATAACCTTATAGAGGAAAGATTTCGAGTAGAGTGCTATGGTTTTTTCGTTACAGTACCTAGTTTGCCCCTATCTACCGATTATATTATAACCGATTACACGTCGTCAACTTTTTTTTTTATTACCTAGGTAGTATACTCTAGCAACCGATGCCTAATATAAATATATCACTATAGCGACCTCTAAAAAACGGTTTCATAGACGAATTCCAGCTTTAACATATCTATGATTCGTTGTTTTTCCGTGCAGCTGAGAATTTTTTTTTATGAAAAACAAAAAATGGACGACAAACGGTATTGTGTTTTTCTTTTAGGTTACCTTCAAAACGATGCAGCTTTCTTATTGGACTAGTGCTATTGATGACCACCGCAGTGTTGTTCATATTTTATTCGCTGAACATAGTCAAAAATGAAATCCAGGATCCTGAATTTCCTGAACCACCGTCAAGTTTGCCGATGGGAGTGTACAGCAAGGTCGGCGTCGTGTCTAATGGTGGACCCTGCTCTCAAATTGGAGTGTAATATATATTTTATTAAACGTTTAATACCTAGTATTACCTGTCTATAGCATTGCTATCGAAATTAAATATTATGATAAGCACAGCAGTTGGTCATTTTTTATTTTGAATAACATAAAAAACTATGTTAAAATTGTATAATCGCCATAACTTTCACATTTTCAATTAATAAAAAAAAACACAAATGTCCGATAATCAAATGAATATAAAAATACTTGCTTGAAATCTAGCCAAAAAACTTAAGCTAATACCAAAAAGCAATATTCCTGAAGACACCAATAACTTCACAACAAATATGTAACAAAACCCTGGAAAATTCCTTCTTAACAGTTTTTTACTTTGTACTACCTAATATATTTTTGTAGTATTTTGATGACATCAAATTTATAAATTTTTTTTTGTTTTTGGGATAGTGATGTGATGGCTAGGGGCGGAAATGCCATAGACGCAGCTATAGCTACATTATTATGCGACGGTGCCGTTTGTCCACAACAAATGGGTATTGGTGGAGGGTTTATAATGAGTATTTACAATGCAACGACCAAAAAAGTAACGTCAATTAATGCACGTGAAACAGCTCCAGCCGCTGCAAATACTTACATGTTTGTAAATGATCCCATAAAATCCATGCACGGTATGTACTGAATAGTAAATAAGGGTACCTATTAGTTACTTACAGTCTGATTGAAAAATAAAGAAACGTAATCAATATAACCTTTTACAAAAATGCTGATACTTTTTGTTTGTAAATTGGAATACAATTCAAATGCACTTTTAATTATTTTACATACACATTGTACACAACCTACATATTAGCTCATTAATATAAATTATAAATTAGGTACTTAAATATTAACTTCTACAACACTTTTAAGTAGATATGATAATATGTAATCAAGTATTTTATGTAGTTGATAATATTTGAAGATAGGTATATACAATATACTAAATAATACATATAATATACCATTGACAAATTGCACTCGAATCTTTCATCAATATACTGACAATATACATTATACATATTGTACAAAGATATATTATATTATATTATCCGTATTTTAAATTTAACAGTTCCTGAGAACTAAATTAATAAGTATCCAATAAAAAAATAAATGAAAAAGTTTATAACATTTTTATCTTTTTTAATTTTGAAAATCTAGGAGGACTGGCGGTTGCGATTCCAGGAGCCCTTAAAGGCTACTCAACGATATATAACTTATACGGTGGCGGCGTACGATGGGAAACGTTGTTTGATCCAACCATAAAACTATGTGAAGAGGGTATAACGGTCAGTGGTCATCTAGATACCAGCTTGAAGTTTGACGAAGAATTGATACATAATGACACAATGCTCAGGTATAATATGACTATATTATTACCCACTATTTATATTAATTTTTAAATAAATTATTAGGTAAAACTTCCTATATTAAAAATCTTCTTTTTTTTTAATCAATGTTCAAACTCTTCCATTGACCTAATTTTATTTTTAATCGATTTAAAATTTTGAAGATTGGAGATTGAAAAATATACTTGGAATTTATAGATTAACAACAATTATGGTTGTATAATATAAAACTTAATAAAATACCGATAAAATAAATGTTTGGTAATTTTTATATAGAAACATTTTTATCGATGAAAACAGTGGATACTTGAAAACAGCTGGGGATACATACAAGTTACCGAAGCTAGCAGAAACCCTGAAAATCATAGCGATAGAAGGTGTAAAAGCCATATATAACGGATCGTTAACATCTAAATTAATACACGATTTAAGGAAAGTCAATGGTATTATCACAAATAAAGACTTGGCGGATTATAAGTAAGTGTGCTTGGTACTTAATTTGAATTTAATAATTGTCTGGTTCGTTGTGGCATTTTATTCGTAAAACTAAAAAATTATTTTGAAATTGAATTTCTAAGAAAGTTTAATTCATATTTACTCAAAACATAAAATTCATTTAAAACTAATATTTTTTAGGGTTGAAATCGAAGAATCTTTTTCAGTAAATTTAACAAGTGGACATACAATACACATGGGGCCACCACCTGGTTCTGGTATAATATTAGCTTATATTCTCCGTATTTTGGACGGCATTCTGCCGGCGCCTGATGTTGGTTTAGCCGAACATCGGTTAGTAGAAGCTTTTAAATTTGGGTATGGTGAACGATCCCATTTAGGAGACCATCAATTCGTGAACGTATCTCAAGTATGTGATTATGCAACTGTATACAATGTGGTAAAATAAATATTATAATAATGTATTAATTTGTATTATTTTTTAGATTTACAATAAAGTAAACTCGGATAGTTACATTAAGAGTATCAGAGATAAGATTCTTGATAATTTTACATCTTTAGATCCGAGATATTATGGGGGTGATTTTTATACACCAGAAGACCATGGGACGGCTAACATAGTCGTAACCGATTCGATGGGAAACACTGTTGTATGTACCAGTACAGTAAATACATTGTAAGGATGAATTTATGCATTTAAAAAAATGTATTGTTGATAAAAATCTTCTACGTTAATTAACATGTCAAATTTATTTCATATTAGTTTTGGAAGTGGTTTCATGTCACCTAGCACTGGCATTATTCTGAACAATCAAATGAACGATTTTTCCACTCCTGGAGTTACCAATTTTTACGGAATCCCATCGTCACCAGCCAATTACATAAAACCAGGCAAACGACCAATGTCTTCAATGTGTCCAACTATATTTACCGACACAAATGGAGACTTTGTTCTTGGAGCGGGAGCAGCTGGAGGATCTAAAATCACTCTTACTACAGCATACGTAAGATTTGTACTTCCATATCACAGTTATATTTTATTTTTTCTTTCTTAAGATTTCTGTAACATAAGTATAGCAATTCACCTTGTTGTGTTCTACCTTCCAATAGAATTTTTGGTCTATTAAAAATATTTTTTAAGAGTTTTTTAGACTACTTTTTATCTACTAAAGATTGTTTAATAGACTATAAATATACAAATACCTTTGACATTGTTTTGTTCCCAGATGGCTGCCCATAAATTATGGTATAATAATACGCTGAAAGAGGTATTGGACAAACCTAGAATATACCACCAACTTGTACCTATGGAAATTAGATATGAATACCGAACAACTAAGGTAGAATCAGTATATTAAACTATATAATATGAGGTAACTTATGAAATATTATTAGATTAAAATGAACTATGTTTTATTTTTAGAACGTTGTACAAAAACTTAAAGACATCGGTCATCCAGTGACCAGGATGAATTATACACAAGGTTCAGCAGCATCGGCTATTAGCAGATCCCCTACAGGAATGATCGAAGCCATGTCAGATTTCCGGCGGCCAGGAAATACGTCAGGATATTAATACGATTATGAATATTAAATGATTACTTTCAATATTGTTTTAGTTTATTCTAAAAGTTTCAATATCTTAATTTAATAATTTTGAAAGTTATACAGGATATGTGATCTAAAATATTTATTTATAAAATTATTTTCCATGTAAATTTTGAAATATAACTACCTGCCTATATTATTATATTAATAAGTAAACATAATATATTATTATATACAAGCGATAAAAATGGTATGCTTCTTTGCAGTATATTATTACCTACCTCTAATCATCTCCATTATTAATAGGTAGGTACTACTGAAAATATTACTTTTAATTATAATGCAATGATCGATATAGGTACTTAATTTAATGTAATATAATGTACTTTATGGTTGCATTACATTTTTTGAAATAGCCAATGATTAGTTTTGTGATAAGCTCAAATTTCTTAACTTTATTGTTAGCGCCTAATCACGTATTGCCTTTTACTCAAATGTAGACGAACAATTTTATTAACATTCATCGATTGGGGCTAGAAACTAAACAAATGTGTTGTCTTTTATTAAATAACAAACTTTTATTCATCCATTTATTAACGGGATACATAATATATGTGCTTAATTATGTAATTAAAATTCTCATAATATAGGAGGTATTAAAAATTGAATAAAAATTGAATAGCATTTATATGTAGGCATGAATACAAATATAATACAACTTAAAAATAATTCAATTGTAATTCGTTCTGCTGTATAAAAGGTTTTGATTGCAACTTGTCATTGAGTAGGTTACTGTAATGGATGTGTTAATATAATTCGGTGATAAATCCAGGGGCGGACTTACCATTTTTCCGCCCCTAGGCATTACAACACTAGCGCCCTTTACATTAGAGTGATCCCCAGGGGGGGAGGGGGGTAAAGTAATATTCCACGAAATAAAACTAAACTATAAAAATTGTATTTAGGTATTTTACATTTATACATACCAACTAAACAAATAAACCCGATCGACAAACTGTATCTAATTCAAAACTCCTACTTCAACAGCAACGACCATTACACAATATTATAACAATAAATAATATACACACAACACACCCACTCATATTATAGTATAAGTATATTATACATAATTATTATTGTTGTATTTTATAATATCTTGTATATCATACAAAGGCGTTGCTACATTATTGGACTTGATCGATAGGTTATGGTCCTCCCCTGGTCCTTCTAGCGCCCTCCATCACTGTCGGATATTCATATTACATAAAATATATATGTTTATATACTTATTACCTGATAACTGATATTACCAAATTATTTAGTGTCTTCAATATTCACAATACCCATATTCTAATAAATTATTCGGCTTAATGGTTACCTACCTGTAGTTGTAAGTTGTAATATTATATGCATTACATCCTGGCTACCTATATATGTCCCGTATATTACAACACTGTTCTATTGGCAGGGTGTCAGAGGGTCTTCAGGTCAATTCCATGGAAGGGGCGAAAACATTTTTGTCTAGAATATTGCATTGCTAAACAAAAACTTAAGGCCACTGCAAATGTGTCATTTTTAAGGAGTTGAGTATAGGCAATTATTCCTTTCCTGCGATTACTGATCGCCTTTGTGTGTGTAGTAAATGTTCATTAGTGTGTGTATACTCCCCTACCATCACCCGCGAACTGCATCAATTTACAATACATTGTTATTTCTTATCTGGCTTTTGGTCGCACGCAAGTTACCCATTTGCGCCAAAATAAAAAAGGTATGTTTTTCCGACAGCCCACTTGCGCCAAATTTACCTGGTATAATTATAATAAAGTAATATATTTTTTTCTTAAATAATAATTAATACAATTTTATTTAAATCATTGTTAATTATACGAATGTTTTTAAAATAATAATCAATAATAGCTGTATATACACATTTTTTTGAAACAATAATCAGAATTAATACAAATTGTTTTTAAAAAATATACTTATACTTATTACTAACTATTATAATTTATAACAAATAATATAAATAAAACATATTTTTTATTAATTATAATACACTAATATATTTTTTTTTCAATCAAATTATAGTCAATAATACGATTTTTTTATAAATAATTATCAATAATACACTTTTTAAACAATAGTAAATAATTAGTATAGGTACACATTTTATTGAAAATTATAGTCTATAGGTCAACCACTTCCAAGGAGGCAAGTGCGGCCCCCCACCGGGCCTGCGCGCCCAGCCAGAGGACCCCCTCTACGCTCCCCACGGTTTTTCGGCCGTATCTCCGTCAGGGTTGCTCCTAGAGCGTCGGGACGAAAATTTTGCCCCCTCGACGATACCATAGCAGATTTCGGAGACTCCGACAAGACCCAGCAAACCAGGACCCCCTATTACCCCCGGAGTTCGGGCCCCCGATAGGGACAGTGAGCTCCGCACCGCCACCCCGATAGGGACAGTGCGGTCAGATAGGGACAGTGCCGCAAGTGTACCCCAACAGGGACAGCGCGGACAGGGACAGCGCTTCATCCCAGCCCCGAGGCCAGGCCCCCGGCGACGCCACGCTTCAACCAGTCTCCGAACCGACTGCTCTCCGAGCAATGGCCGCTTCGCACGAAATGTCTGAGCCGAACTCATCCGACGGTCCCTCGGTCAAGAAAATGAAGATCACAAAGTCCCCGAAGTCCTCAGTAACCTGGCTGCAAGATCTTTGGGCAACACTTAAGGGAGTCACGTCGCACCTCATTAACGTACACAGGGATGCCAGGATGATTAATGACCGCGCGTCGGACGATGTTCTGCGGGCCGCAATGGAGCGGATTCTCGAGCACAACAACGAGGCGTTAGAGTGTCTAAATTCGTTGCTTAGCATGGATGGGGAACTGCTTAATGCGCCCAATTTTAGCGCTCCCACTGCATCTACATCCGACGCCTCCACGGACATGATCCTGACCCCGGGCTACTGGGATAGTGACGCGGTCATCGAGTCCAAGGCAGCCTCGGCACGCAGGTCAAGGAAACCGAAGGTAGCAGGCAAACAGACCGCACGAGACGCCGAAACCGACGCCATGGAAACGGACGGCGAGGAGTGGTCGAAAGTCGTCGGCAGACGATCCAGGCAAGGGAGAAAAACGGCGGCTGCTGCACTCCCACCCGCCGCAGGGTCCCGCCAGCGCCCGCCTGTTTTCTCCAATAAACCGCCGGCGATCCTAATCCAAAACGCGGCCGGAAAGTCCTACCGGGACACCATTCTGGCAGTGCGGAATTGCGGGTTGACCAGGGAGGAGATAGGCACTAGCGTCACAATGAGGCAGACACGGGACGGATGTCTCCTCCTGGAGCTTCCCAAAGGAAGCAGCTCAACGAAAGCAGCCAAGACTATCGCTTCAGCCATGTCAAGCAAGCTTGGCGACTCCGTTGGGAAGGTGGTCCAGCTCGGGGTCCAGGTGGAAGTCGAAGTGTTGGACATCGATGCAACCGCCTCCGCCTCGGAAGTCCTGGAGGCGCTTCGCGACGCGATTCCCGGTCAGGACGATCCGGCAGCCAGGATCGACAGGGACGTAGTCAGCGACGTCAGGATATGGAGCACCCGATCCGGACAGCAGATCGCGACGGCGAAAATGCCCAGGAGCATTGCCGCCAGCATCGCCAGGGTCCCGATCGGGTGGACCATGTGCCGCGTCCGGCCAAGAACGCTGCCACCGGAGAGGTGTTTCAGGTCCCAGGCCTTCGGCCACAACTCCAGATCCTGCACCGCGGAGGACAGGACGGGCGCCTGTTGGAAGTGCGGAGTGGCAGGCCACTTAATGAAGGACTGCGTCGAGGGTGACGACCGTTGCGTGGCCTGCGAAACCGCTGGTCTGCCGAAGGTCGTGCACAAACCAGGCTCCGGGGCGTGCGCCGCTAGAAGAAAGTCGGGAGCAGCCAAGAGTACAGATGATTAAATTCCTGCAGATAAACCTGAATGCAAATTGGGCAGCAGAGCAGCTTATGGCACAGACGGCGGAAGAGATCGGGGCCGACATCCTTATTGTAACTGAGCCGGCCACCCCCTATGGCCATGAGGACCGGTGGTGCCTCAGCACGGATCGCAAGGCTGCTGTGGGTACATCACTGCGCTCAGAGCTCAGTCACGATGGTCGGGGCTTCGGCAGTGGGTTCGCCTGGCTATCATTCCAGGGGTTGACCGTCTTCAGCTGTTACTGCAGGCCCGGGGCCTCGCTGCCGGAGTATCGACTGTTTCTGGGCGACCTTGAGGCGGCGATCCGCGCTAGAGGGGACTCATCGATCGTTCTGGCCGGCGACTTCAACGCCTGGAACGTGGAGTGGGGTTCGAGAACCAACAACCCCAGGGGCGCACCGCTGTCTGATCTCGCCATAAGTCTGGGGCTGATCTTGGCCAACTCGGGCACCTCCCCTACCTTCGTGAGAGGGGCGGCCACATCAATTATAGATCTCACGTTCTATCGAGGCGTGGACCTCACAGACTGGCAGGTACCCGACCTAGAGACATTGAGCGACCACAACTACGTCTGCTTCAACACGGCCGACCCGGCCCAGCCCCCGGTCGTCGATGTACTCGCTAACGTCTCCTCCGGCTGGTCAATCAAGAAGCTCGACCCAGACGCCCTGTGCCGTCATCTGAGCATCACGCACCTAGGAGCCACCGCCGGTGCCTCCTGTGCTGAGACTGCGCTGTCTTCGGCTGAATCATTTGATGCGTTCCTGTTCGGCGCCTGTGAAGCTTCCATGCCCAGGAAAAGAAAAGGCCCTCAGGTGTTCTGGTGGTCGGAGAGGATCGCCGATCTGCGGCGTCAGTCCCTTGCGCTCCGGAGGCGATACCAAGCCTGCATCAGACGCGTCAACCAGCCCGGAGTTCAAGAAGCTAGGTTTTCCTACATCGCCGCCAAGTGCTGGGCCGACTTGTGCGCCCAGGTTGACACAGACCCCTGGGGCAGACCCTACAAGCTAGTGATGAAGAAGCTCGGCGGCCAGAATCCAGCCGAGAGCTCCAAGGGCAG